TTAGAAAAGCAAAAAGAGGGTTACATTAATTTTAATAGTATATTTTATTAAATCATATATATATATATATAAAATATTATCCTTTAAAGATATACCCAGCCTAAAAAATTTTAAAGTGTTTGTTCACTATCGTTTCTTTCAGTTTTACTGAGATATAATTGACAGGCAGCCCTGAATAAGCTTAAAGTGGATGGCAGAGTAATTTGACTTTTCTAGATCATGAGGCGATTGCTGTAACAAGTTTAGTGATCACTCATCATCTTATATAGATACAAAATTAAAGGAGCAGAAAATATTTTTTACCTTGTGATGAGAATTCTTAGAATATCTTCTCTTAATGATGTTCATATGTAACATACAGCAGTGTTAATTTTATCTATCGTGTTGTACATTACACCTCTGTCGTTATTTCTTTCATAATTGAAGCTTGTCCCCTTAGACTGCCTTCATCCAGCTCCCCTTTGCCCCTGCTCTCTGCCTCTGGTAGCCACAAATTTGATTTCCATTTCTATGTATTTGCTGATTTTTGAAATATAATTGACCACAGCGCTATGTTAGTTCTGTTAGACAACACAGTGATTCAGTACTTCCATACCCTTCAAAAGAATCACCATGATAAATCCAGTTATGATATTCACAGTAGAAAGGTATTACATAACTTTTGACTCTATTTCTTGCACTGTTATTTCATACCTGTGACATTTATTTTGCAACTGGAAGTTTGGATCGTTTAAAAAACTTTTTAATTTGAGGATAATTGCTTTACAAAATTGTGTTGGTTTCTGCCATACATCAACATGAATCAGCCATAGGTATATGTATAACTCCTCTCTTTTGAACCCTTCCCCCTTTCCCACGCCACCCCACCCCTCTGCTTTTAAGTCGCTTCAGTCGTGTCCGACTCTGTGCGACCCTATAGACGGCAGCCTACCAGGCTCTCCCGTCCCTGGGATTCTCCAGGCAAGAACACTGGAGTGGGTTGCCCTTTCCTTCTCCAAACGGAGACACAGACATAGAGAATAGACTTGTGGACACATTACTGCTCTGTAAATAGGTTCATTAGTACCATCTTTCTAGATTCCATATACATGCATTGAAAGAAAGTGTCAGTCACTCAGTCATGTCTGACTCTTTGTGACCCCATGGACTGTAGCTCACCAGGTTCCTCTGTCCATGGAATTCTCCGGGCAAGAATACTGGAGCGGGCTGCCATGTCCTTCTCCAATGTATGAATTAATATATATTTGTTTTTCTCTTTCTGACTTCTCCCCTGTGTGTAACAGGCTCTGGGTTCATCCACCTCATCAGGGCTGACTCAAATGTGTTCCTTGTATGGCTGTGTAATAGTCCACAGTGCATATGGACCACAAGGAAGTTTGTATTTTCATCCCCCTAACCCTTCTCTCTCCTATTCTCTCCCCCATCCCCTCTGTCAGCTGCTTGTTTGCTCTCTGTATCTATGAGTTTGTTTGTTTTGTCATGGTTGTTCATTTGCTTTGTCTTTTTTCCCACATGTAAGTGAAATCATACAGTATTTGTCTTTCTCTGTCTTACTTCACTTAGAATAATACCCTCTGGGTCCATCCACATTGCTGCAAATGACAAGATTTCTTTCTTTCTTATGGCTGAGTAATATTCAATAGCCAATATATTTTGGCTATTGTAAACAGCAATGCAACAAACATAGGGGTGTATATATCTTTTCTAATTAGTGTTTTCCATTTCCTTGTATGAATACCCAGGAGTAGAATTTCTGGATCATATGGTAGTCCTATTTTTACCTTTTTGAGAATCTCTGTAGTGTTTTCCATAGTGGCTCTCCCAATTTACATTGACACCAACAGTGCCCTAGAGTTCCCTTTTTTCTACATCCTTGCCAGCACTTGTTATTTATTGTCTTTTTGATAATAGTCATTCTGACAGGTGTGAGGTAATAGTTCCTTATGATCTGATCTGCATTTCTCTGATGATTAGTGATGTTAAGCGTCTTTTTATGTGTCTGTTGGCCTTCTGTATGTCTTCTCTGAAAAAATGTGTGTTTGAGTATTCTGCCCATTTTTAATCTTGCTTTGTTGTTGTTGACTTGTATGAATTCTTTGTGTACTTTGGTTATTAACATATTATTAGATATATCATTTGCAAATATCTTCTTCCATTCGGTAAGTGGCCTTTCCCTTTTGCTTGTAATTTTCTTTGCTGATCAAAAGATTTTAGTTTGATAAAGTCCATTTGTTTATTTTACTTTTATTTCTCTTGTCTGAGGAGTCATATCCTCCCAAAATATGTATTACTAATATCAAACTTAAAGAGTACACTGCCTATGTTTTCTACTAGAAGTTTTATGGTTTTAGGTCTTACATTTAAGTCTTTATTTTGAATTTATTTTTGCTCATGACATGAGAGATTATTCCAGTTTGATTCTTTTGCATGTAGCTGTCAAATTTTCCCAACACATTCAAGAGAATGTCTTTCCCCATTGTATTGTCTTACGTGCTTTGTCATGGGTTAATTGCCTGTGTAAGTGTGGAGTTATTTCTCCTCTATATTCTGTTCCATTGACTCTGTGTCTGTTTTAGCATCAGTACCATACTGTTTTGATCACTTTAGCTTTGTAGTACAGTTTGAAACCAGGAAGTGTGACGCCTCTAGTTCTGTTCCTTTTTTTAATTTGAAACATAATTAATTTGCAATCTTGTGTTAGTCTCTGTTGTACAGTAAAGTGATTCAGATATATATTCTTTTTCAGATTTTTTCCATTACAGATTATTACACGGTATTGAATAACTTCCCTGTGATATACAGCAGAAACTTACTATTTATCTATTTTATATATAGAGATGGATATCTGTTATCTGAACATAAGCTATAAGATGTAATGAAGGCCCAGATTATTGTACACTTCAGTCCCTAAACAGTGTAGTGGAAGACTGGCACCTTCAGCATCAGAAGAGGAGTTCAGAGAGGCTGTTCTGAAGCCAGGGGAAACCCTCCTATCCCAGGGTGAGCAGACCTTGGAGGCTGGCACCCTTTGAACCCTCCTGTGTCATTACTGAGATCTGCTTGCCCACTGATGCTTTGCTGTTGTTGTTCTTCAGTTGCCAAGTATTGTCCAACTCTTTGTGACCCCATGAACTGCAGCATGGCAGGCTTCTTTCTCCTTCACTGTCTTCTGGAGTTTGCTCAAACGCATGTCCATTGAGTCAGTGATGTCATCCAACCATCTCATCCTTTGTCACCTCCTTCTCCTCTTGCCCTCAGTCCTTCCCAGAATCAGGGTCTTTTCCAATGAGTTGGCTGTTCATATCAGCTAGCCAAAGTATTGGAGTTTCAGCTTCAGCATCAGTCCTTCCAATGAATATTCAGGGTTGATTTCCTTTAGGATTGACTGGTTTGATCTCCTTGCAGTCCAAGGGATTCTCAAGAGTTTTCTCCAGCACCACAGTTAGAAAGCATCAATTCTTTGGTGCTCATCTTTCTTTATGGTCCACTCTCACATCTGAACATGACTACTGGAAAAACCAATGCTTTAGGTAACAGCAACATGTATTCCATACGACAGATAAAGAATTCTTAACCAGTCCCTCTGCTGTCTCCATCAAGGGTCTTTTCAGATGTTTCCATATCTGATGGCTGCTCCAATACACTGTCTCCTGAACAGTTAAAGAGTTGTCCAGTGTGGAACAGGAACAAACCAGAGAGCCACCATCCCCTTTTTGCTGAGAGAAAGCTGTCTTAGCAATGTTATATGTTTCCCTGGATATGTTCTGTGTTCACCCATGAATGGGGGAAAGAGATTCAAGAGCTCTCAGATAAAGTCACATCCAAAGGAGGTTCTGGGTGGGGACTGGGGCAGAGGTGACTCCTCAGCGTTCAGTCCAGCCCCAGAGAACAGGGTGAGCAGAGAGGTGGGAGGCGACCATGGGAATGGGCAGGCACAGTCTTGCTTTGGGTCTTGGATGAAGAACAAGAGCGTGAACTTGAATGTTCCCCAGAGGGAGCAGCAGAGTCAGAGGAGTTTTTCCAAGATAAGGGGGAGTGATCTTTCCAGGTGAAAGCAGAGGTGAAAACACAGGCATAGACGTATCCTGTAGTATGTGGTGTAATCATCAATCCCTGCCTTTCAATGGCATGCCATTTTGCCTAAGTGACTTGATGATAAAATAAAGATAAGGGGACACATATAGGCGGCACAGCCCCACCAGAAAGTCAGTTGCTTCTGGTTGTGTGGAGATGGCCCTGGAACCGCAGCTTCGGCGGCAGGTGCTGGCTGGGCTCCTGCTCTGTCTGTGCGTCGGGCGATGGGCCGAGGCTGGGAAGGTGCTGGTGGTCCCCATGGAGGGCAGCCACTGGCTCAGCATGCGGGAGGCCGTGCGGGAGCTCCACGCCAGAGGTCACCAGGCGGTGGTCCTGTCTCCGGAGATGAATATCCACATCAAGGCAGAGGACTTTTTCACCACGAAAACCTATGTCATTCCATATACCCGGGACCAGTTTGATTCCATCATGAAGGGCCGTCCTGATGAGGCTTTTCAAAGAGTACATTTTCTAACACGGTTTTGGGAAACTATGGCAACATTGAAAAATGTGTCTTTGCTCTTTGCAAGGTCTTGTGAGGCAGTGTTGTATAACAAGGACTTGATCAGAGACCTGAATGCCAGTTCCTTCGATGTGGTTTTAACTGACCCTGTTTACCCCTGCGGGGCAGTGCTGGCTAAGTACCTGTCCATTCCTGCTGTATTTTTCTTGCGTTTGCTTCCCTGTGACTTAGATTTTGAGGGCACTGCATGCCCAAACCCTTTCTCTTATGTTCCTCGGTTATTAACAATGAATCCAGACCGCATGACATTCTTCCAAAGGGTCAAGAACATGCTCTATCCTCTGGGCTTGAAGTACATTTGCCAGGTTGGTTTCACTCCTTATGCACGTATGGCCTCTGAGCTTCTTCAGAGAGAGGTGTCACTGGGGGAGATTCTTGCCTCTGGATCCGTGTGGCTGTTCAGAGGAGACTTTGTGATGGACTACCCCCGGCCAGTCATGCCCAACATGGTGTTCATTGGGGGTATCAACTGTGCCAACAGGAAGCCGTTATCTCAGGTTGGTACTGCTGCTTTTGCTCAATCAGTGTTCCAAGCGGAGCACATTTTATTTTTTAAAAAACAATTCAGGGTGTTTTGTTATGTACTGATCTTTCTGATGACTTCCACCTCTCATTCTCCTCCTCACCGTCTGTGGTGAGACAGCCTGTTAAAGTGCCTCCAGGAGTGCAGTAAAGGCTTGCAGTGATCTCTGAGGGGAGTGAGAGGCAGGGGTGAGGGTGTGTAATAGGATTGACCACGGTGATTGCCCTTTTGTAAAGTCATCGGTGTAACCGTTGTGCAGTTTTCTCCAGCTGAGTAGGAGCAGGAACTTGAGCTGTGAATTTACCCTTCAGGGGATTTTGCCCGAGGGTGTTCAGTAGAAGTGTAAGCAAAGTGGAGTCTGGTTGCTTGTGGCTCAAAAGACAATAAAGAAGCAAGACTGGTGGATGTGAAAGTTTGCTTGGATGAATGTGCCCGGGATGGGGATGCAGAGAGGCGAGTCCTGTCCAAACACTTTTTCCCTCCTTGCACAATCCGGGGCAAGAGCTTTTATTGACAGAGGGACGGGGGCTCCATGTAGAAACAGCACAGTTGGCTCTGACCGTCATCTTGAAATCAGTGATCTGACCAGCATCATTTTGATTGTTTTCAGTACAGTTAATCTTCAGTTCAGGGCTGGTTTGTTCCCATTCCTTGTGGCCAGTTCTCAGAATTTCGGCAGCTTCTATGTCATGGCTACAGTCTGGTCACCATGTAGTTAACTTTTTCCACCTCATGGGGGTTTCAGTATCTATGACAGCTCCCAGGATATGGCTCAGAGTATTATCTATAAATACCAGGACTGTAGTTAACAACATTAATTCCTTTAATTTTGTACTTATATGAGATGATGCGTGATCACTAAACTTGTTGTAAAAGTCTCATGATCTAGAAAGTCAGATCACTCTGCTATCTACCTTAAGCTTAACCAAGGCTGCCTGTCAATTATGTCTCAATAAAACTGGAAGAAACAATGGCAAAAAAGAAGGTTGTTTCTTAATTCTAATATAATTAAGGTTATTGCAGTCATTTTTCTCTTATTTTTTTCTAATTATTTTGAATTATAATCAAAGAATGTTTCTTGTGAGTTACTATTTTTAAAAACTTTTTAATATGCTTTCTTTATGGTTCAGTACAGAATTGTCCAGTAGGAATCTAACATAAGTCATATATGTAATTGAAGGCTTTTTAGTATGTATATTAAAAAAACTAAAAAGAGTATTGCAGCTAATTTTAATAATATATTTTATTGAATCAAATATATTAAAATATTATCCTTTAAACATATAGTCAATATAAAATTGTTTATCAGGTGCCTCTGTCCATGGGATTTTCCTGGCAAGAATACTGGAGTGGGTTGCCTTGCCCTCCGCCAGGGGGTGGTTTTTCAGACCCAGAGATCTAATCCGCATCTCCTGCATTGCAGGCAGATTCTTTATTGCTCCCCCTGCTCCCATTCCCTGCCTCTGGTAGCCACAAAGCTGATTTCTATTTCTATGAGTTTGCTTCTTAGTTTTCAAAGCTGATTGACTTGCAGCACTATGTTTGTTCCTATTATATAACATGGTGATTCAGTCCTTCTATATATTTCAAAATAATCACCACGATAAATCCAGCTATGATATTCATCACAGAAATGCATGATGTAACAATTGACTGTACTTCTCACGCTCTTATTTCTTACCTATGACACTATTTTGCAACTGGAAGCTTGGATCTTAATCCCCCTCACCCTTTACTCTCCTTTCGCCACTCTGATCCCCTGTCAATAGCCTGTTTGTTCTCTGTATCTGTGAGTCTGTTTGTTTTGTCATGGTTGCTCATTTTCATTGCCTTTTATTTTCCACATGTAAGTGAAATCATACAGTATTTATCTTTATATGCCTTACTTTACACTAAGTGTAACCCACGAGGTCCATCCATGTTGTCCCAATGGCAAGATTTCATCCTTTTTTTATGGCTGAGTAATATTCAATAACGAATTATTGTAAATAATGCTACAGTGAACCTAGGGGTGTGTATATCTTTTCTAATTAGTTTTTGTTTTCCTTGTGTAAATATTCAGGAGTAGAATTGCTGCATCATATGACAGTTCTACTGTTCTCCACTGTAGATGCACCAATTTACATTGCCTCCAACAGTGCACTAGAGTGCCCCTTTCTTTACATTCTTACCAACCTTTGTTTTTTTAAATTTTTTTCTCACCATCTTTTGCTATTTGCTTAATCACCATGTAAATGTAACAGTTCTTTGAAAAATGCCATTTGTATTTTGATTAGTATTTTATTGAATCTGTAGATTGTCTTAAGTAGTACAGTCATTTTAACAATATAACTATTCCAATCCATGAATATGGTACACCTCTCCATCTGTTTGTGTTGTCTTCAATTGCTTTTATCAGTGCCTTATAAATTTCTCAGTATAGGTCTTTTATCTTCTTATATTTATTCCTAGTTATTTTATTATTTTGATGTTACTGGAAGTAGAATTGTTTCCTTAATTTCTCTTTCTGATAGTTCATTGTCAGTATATAGAAATGCAACAGATTTCTGTTAATAATTTTATATCCTGCAGCTTTACCAAATTCATTAGTGAGTTCTAATAGTTCTTTTGGTGGCCTCTTTAGGGTTTTCTATGCATAGTGTCATGTCATCTGAAAATAGTGACAGTTTTACTTCTTCCTTTCTAATTTGGATTTTTTTTGTATGTGTGTTATAGATGTTTGGTTGGTGGTTACCATGTGGTTTCTTGATAACAATCTCTCTATATATGTGATTATTTTAAATTGCTAATGTTTTAAGTTCAAAAGCATTTTAACAACTCTATTTTCAAACTCCACATTTACTATTTTTGACATATCTCACATCTTTTTGTTTTGTGTATCCCTTAGCTACTCATTGTGGATGATTTTACTACTTTTGTCTTTTAACCTTCCTGCTAGCCTTATATACGGTTGATGTACTACCTTTATTGTATATTTATCTTTACCAAAGAAATTTTTTTTTGGTAATTTTCATATTTATAATTGTGGCCTTTACTTTTCCTCTTAGAGAACACTCTTTAAAAATTCTTGTAAAGCTGATTTTATGGTGCTAGACTGTGAGTTTTGCTTGTCTGTAAAACTTTCTATCTCTCCTTTGAATCTGAATGAAAGCTTTGTCAAGTAGGGCACTTTTGGTTGTTTTTCAACACTTTAAATATATCATGCCATTCCCTTCCAGCCTGCAGAATTTCTGCTGCAAAGTCAGCTTAAAATCTGATGGGTTGGCTGTGGGGTCTGGAGTGTCACAAATCTTGTTTTGGCCTGCTGGTACGTGGAGCCAGGGCCCAGGGAGTCCTGAGGCTTGTGCCAGCCTGCTTGTGGGTGGGTTGAGTCTTAGGGTTAATGCTGGCCCACGTGTAGGTGGAGCTGGGTCCTGGAGTCTCTGATTGAATGGCCCAGGGGTCCATAATCTGGTGTCAACCTGCTAGAGGATAGGGTCAGGGTCCAGGTAGTCCAAGGGTTAGTGCTGGCTCATTGGTGGGTGGAGTTGTGACCCAGGGTCTCTGGCTGCAGGGCCTGGGGGGGGCTGGATTTGGTGTTGTCCCACTGGAGGATGGGGCCTGGGCCCTAGGCATCCCTGGGCTAGTGCTGGCGCACTGGTAGGAGTCCAGGTCCTGGGCCCTCTGGTGAATGGGTCCAGGTGCTGGGTGGCTGAGAACTCAGGGGGTCTTAGGCAGCTGGCCTGTTAGTGAGTGGGCCTCTGTCCCCACTTGGCTAGCTGCTTGACCTGAAGCATCATAGTACTGGTGCCTACAAGCGAGGAGAGTGGGGCTGGGTCCTGGTGCTTAATAAGCTAGAGGGTTGATCCCAAAATAGCCCTTGCCAACAGTGTCATCATGATAGAATGGAGCTCCCCAAAGAGCTGCTGTCAGTGTCCACATGCCCAGGATGACCTCTGTTGCCTCCTGCCTCTCTGGGACGCTCTTCAAGACTAGCAGAATCCTGCTTCTGCTCTGGGCCCCAGAGTGTATGAGATTTTGTGTGCATCCTTGAAAAGTAAAGTCTCTATTTCCTACAGCCCTCTGGTTCTCCCAAAAGTGAGCCCCACTGACCTTCAAAGCCAGATATTCTGGAAGTTCTTCTTCCTGGTGCAGAACCCTGGTCTGGGATACCTGATATGGGGCTCAGACCCCTCACTCCAGGGTTCCTTCACTGGAACCCTCATAGTGCTGTTGGTGGGAGTGTAAAATGGTGCAGTCATTGTGGAAAACAGTATGTCAGCTCCTCAAAAAATTAAAAATAGAATTACCAGATGATCCAGCAACTCCACTTCTAGGTATATACCCAAAATAATTGAAAGCAGCATCTCGAAGAGATATTTGTATACTCATGTTCATAGCAGCATTATTCACAACAGCCAGAAGGTGAGAGCAACCCATGTCCATTGGCAGATGAACAGAGAAGCAAAATGTGGTCTAGCTATACAATGGAATATTATTCAGCCATAAAAATGAAGGAAATTCTGACAACATATATGAAAACATGAATGAACCTAGAGGATATGATGCTAAGTGAAATAAGTCAGTATAAAAAAGACACATACTGTATGATTCCATTAATATGAGGAACCTAGAGTAGTCAAATTTATAGAGACAGAAAGTAAAATGGAGGTTTCTAGGGACTACGAAGTGGGAGAAACTGTGGAGATGTTATTAAGGGGTATACAGTTTCAACTTTTCAAGATGAACAGTTCTGGAGACTGGCTGCACAACAATATGACTGTAATTAACACTACCAAACTGTACACTTAAAAGTGGTTAAGATGGTAAATCTTATGTTGGGGTATTTTATCATGATTAAACATTTTTAAAAGGCAAACTTTATGAGGAAACAGTCAAACCTATGTGTGCCAATTCAGCATCTATATGTTTAAAGTAAAAACTATTAAATATTTCAAATGTAAATTGAGCAAAATTCAGTTAAATGGGGAAATA